CCAAGACAGGTCCAAACCCAGGCAAGTCCTGAGGCCTCTTAGCGTAATACAAAACCTTGGCCTGTTACTAGCAATGGCAACTCCGTATTAAAAGGGATCTGAGGCTGCACAACAGATCCACAGAATCAAGCTAAGTAACACGGGACAGGGATGGATGAGAAACGCAGGTGCACACTCTGCAGAAATCAAGGAGAAACAGGAAGAGACAATTTCCAGTCTAGGAACAAAGGTGCCCCTGAGGATGCGAAAAACAGAGATACTGGGTGGTCAGTGGCACGCAAGGAATAGAAGTACAGGCAGTGCCTGAAGACAGAGACTTCCAGAGATCTCTTACAAGCTCCGAGTTCCTCAGCATTTGAGCACTATGGAAACCTGCAGCACACTAAGTGTCACCTAATACCTGCAAGCTAAGTGTCATGTACGCTCTTATGTTCTTAAATCAGCTGCAATGCAGTCCCAGTGATCTTGACAAGCATTAGTAAGGGGCTAGAAAAATGCCTGAAGATGATGATTTTCAGTAAAATGTTCCTGAGGCCACTGGAAGAGCAAAAGCTGTGGAACAAGAAACATTGCTGCTTCCATCATGCTTGGAGTTTCAGGAAGTCCATGTGTGGGCAACAGAGTCACCACAAGCATGGCAACCACAGATCTCATTGCAGTACCACAGCTCTTGGCAGGTGTGAATGTTGGAATTCAATCCTAGGATTGGAATAGTGGGCTTAAATTGTTGCAAGAATGTTTTTCTTACAGATTATGAAAAATTTTCTACTGCTAAGAAGAATGAAGCGTTGGAACAGATTGTTTAGGGAGATTGTGCAGTGTCTACCATGGGAGCATTTAAAAAGCTCATTCAATAAACATGCCAGAACTGGTTCAGGTATAGCTGTAACGTGAGTCAAGGATGGACTATGTAACTTCTCAAGGACCCATCTAGTCCAGTTTTATCTACTGCAGGTATTCATCTGTTTGCATCTACTATTTCATGATAAAACAAGGAAAAAGGCCAGAGCCTGCAGGAATACTTTTTTGAAAGAGTAAGAAAAATCGTTAAGTACTAGCCCTGACACACAACACCCCTGCATGATAGATAAGGCAAAAAAAAAAAAAAAAAAAAAAAAAAAGACTTATTGGCTAGGCTTTCTGAATCAGTCTTCTTTTGAGTCATCTCTCAGAGTACAAGATGAACATACTGTCTGATCATCAGCCATTAAAAGAAATCATAAAGGCACTCAAGCAACACATAGGTTACGGAGATTCCAACAAGCTGATCTGAGTATAAGGCACTGCTGCCAAAGTGGGAGACTGTCAGCATGCTCCAATATCTTTGCAGATATTTCTCTGAAAAATATCTTGTGTTTCAGAGCTATCCAGACTGCATGAAGCAATTAGATACCGGAGTCCCAGAGGATGGATGAAGTGCATATTATATACAAAATCGTGTTTAAATGGGATTAGCCAAAAATCCTAGCAGATTTAAAAACTGATGTAATAAGATGTGTCTATGCTTCAACACTAGGGAAGCATAAGGACACCTCTGCTAGCCAACTATCCAACTCTTCATTTACATGTATGCATGAACAGTTCAACAGATGAGAAGAGCTTAGGGATCAACAACAGGGGACAGAACATCATGAAATCCTAGCCTACCTGTGGTAAAAAGTCAGAACAAGCCTGCTTATTTTTAATGAGGGTAACTGTAGGACTTTCAGTAAGTTCTCATTGCTGAAAGGCAGGCTAGGAGGACATACAGGCATTTAATATGACGAGGAAATAGAAGAGGGATTTTGCAATACTATTGTGACTAACAGGCCACATCAAAATTCAAATGACTCAGTATTAAAGGAGGATGTGAGCTACAAATGTCTCAAGCTGGACACCCCCAAAGGCATCAGAGGTCAAAGAAACTAACGGATAATGATCTAACCAAGAGGATGGCACTTTGGCTCAGCAATGCCACTCATTGCAAAATGCTCCTCAGGGTCCAGCACGAGATCGAACTGATAGGATAAGGATTCATGGTTTTTCTTCCCATAATACATATTTTCTATAGCCGAACAGCGAAAAGGCAGGCGTGACAAAGAACACCAAACTAGGCATGTAATTATAAGCAATGAGCCAATGACTGGAGGCCTCTGGGCACAAATTCACAATTCTTGCTATCAATCACAAAAATCAGAGGCAAAAGTATCATCTTCAGTAAATTACAGGTCATAGGAAGTAGACCAGAGAGGAACTTAAACAATCATAAAGTAGTTGCAAACAGCCAGAGGAAAAGCGCCAGGACTCTTAAGACAGCTTCAGCAATCTTCTCACCTGTTGCGGAAGACTTTAAAAATAAGATAGGACAAAGGTATAAGGAGGATAGGAAAAGACAAAGGACTACAGAATCAAATTAAGACCTCCATACCCGCAGCAGCAACACAAACGAAGAATGGGAAACCGGGCTGACCACTAGCTGGTGGGCTACAACGATCTGGCAGGAAAAGCATTGGTCCTGTGGACAGGCATGTAGTACTTAACAGCTGGTGTTAAGTAATCGTTAGCACAAAGGACAAAAGACCATAAATTGCTATAATGAAACATCTAGAAGCTGCACAGAACCTGGAGGGAAAAATCCAGGTTTGGAAAAAGCACCGTGGAAGCCCTTCTGCATGCCAAAATGCTAGTGATGATTGTGGCACCTCTGTAAGCAATATTCTAAGGAAGCAAGCAAACAAAAAAAGCCCACCTTGTTTCAGAAATATGGAAACAAAAGCCCATCTGGACTCTGGCCACATTAACACTAAATATGGACCCAGGGAGAACCAAGATTACAACTTGGCAATTACTAAAACCTAGGTCCTTCGTGAAGTTTAAAAGAAAATTAGGTTCATAAAAAATTAATACAATTATAGTTTCTAATATTCCAGTTTACATGTAAAGTTCCATCTTTCATACCAAATATTTAATCATATTAATATTTTTAACGTTAAGATTTTTCCCTGGACAATTCAAAGGGTAGAGTCAGAGTTTGCTGTCCCAAGCATGGTTAAGCAGACTGTTCATATTTCCTTCCTGACTGGGTTAACTCTTACCATTGAGCTGTTCAAGATCAAAAAACTGCTTTTAAAAATGCGTTAAGATTTGCCTTGTTGGTGAGCATGCCTGAAAATCCAGTGTAAGGACTATGGCAAATAAACCAAACCAAGAGTTAAAGTATAAGTATAATTTAAGTTAGTTCTAAATCTTTTTAATACATATCTGCACAGGCACTGTTTTAAATTCTAGGCTGCTAGAACAGTCATTCAAGACAATTAATCACTGTAAGTAACAATGACGAACTCAAAGAAATTCTAACAGAACTTTTGCAGGGTTCACTTACAGAACTCATTCTTCTAAGAATAAGGAAACAAGATCTAGCTGATATGAATAAATAACATAAAAGGAGAAGCTCCCCTCAAGCTCAGAGAACAGCTGCAACATTTTTCCTCATCTGCCTTTCCCTGCAGCTCTGCTCCCTAAGCTACACTGCCCCAGTGAACAACTAACAATAGAAATTATAAACTGTTAATATTCAGCCTAAAACCAAGGACAGATTAATCCTTTAAAAATCTTATTCAAGATTTTATAGAAATGTATTTGAAAAGACTTTATTTTGTAGTGGATTATTTGGATGAAAAAAAGACAAAAAATAGCCTTAAATGAAACAATGCCATGTAACGTTTATTTGCTGAGGGAGACATTGCAGAGGGAGGTCTTTAGCAGGTCTTGTTAACAACCGCTGCTCTTCATCTTGTTTTTCTCCTCCATTTACTATCCACCTAGGTATTAAGTCCTTCATTCTACATATTACAGCTGCAATTGTAAATTAAGCATTGATTTGCTGTTCTACATAAGTATGTACTGAAATATTTTTACAAGGAACAAAGTCAAGTTGTGGATTATTTAGTGAGGTTCCACTCCTACTGAAAGACTACACTGACTGAAAGCAGTGGAAATACTTTGTTGTGGGAATGTTAAGCCAATGCTCATTACACCTTTTGAAGTCAGGCTGACTTTTCCCTAAAGTATAAAAATGATAACTGAAAAAGAAAGATAAGCTTGGAAAAGGAAATCATACAATGAAATAGTGATGCAGAACAATGCTTAAAAAAAAAAAAAATTAAGCTCTGCTGACTATCAGGACCACATGCTTGCAGTTAGGAAAGTGATTAAGTGCTTTGCTAAATATAGCCTTAAAATATGCCTTCAGAATCTATTCATAATTAAGAAAGCTTGATTGTTTATGATGTCTATAACTCTCTACTCTTAGTGGAAATGCAGAGTGCCTGCTATATTGTATATTATTATAATCACAATACTTAGCATATTGTGTATTATTTCAATCACAATATAAATGCCTAAAGCTAACATAGGTTCCTTTCTCCTTCTCTAAAGGACATTAGTTTTAAATCTGTCCTTCGCTTTATGACATACAGAATTGCAATTTTGTGTTGAAGAATGAAAACTTTCAATATTTAAAAAACTACTTGAGTATCAGTCTTTAGAGTGTGTGAGGCAGGATATACATAATTCAGGCACACAAAGTCAATAGATACAAAGACGTGGTAATAAATACACAGCTCTGCTCTATCCTAACACTTATCAATACAAACTAATAGGGATAGGAAGCCTGAACAAAATTCTGCATCAACTAGGCAATAAGTATGTTATTTTTATTAAATCAAAACATATAATTGTCCATTCCAATGTCACATTGTTGAAAAATAAAACCTTTATAAAATACTAGTGAGTTACTACACATACTTAAAAGGAACATCATTCAAATAAGGATAGACATTAGAAAACATGTTTTCCAAAATTCACACAGAAGTGTGAACTAAACTGGAATTTGTGTGAACACACAAATGAACTAAACTGGATTATTCCACATTAATTAATCTAAATAAACGTGTAAACTTTGTTACACTTGTAACGAAGGGGGTAATTTGTTAGATCTTAACTAGAAAAAATAAAAAGGAGTCTAAGAAACTGTATTATTTTATTTATATACTTAAAATCATTGAACACTGTCATGACACAGCATTTGTAAAGTTGGCAGTAATTAAAAAAACATTTGGCAATATAATGAATTCCCTAGAGTTCTATTTATAAAGAAATATTTTTCACTTAAATCATGAAGCTAAATAACTGACACAGAGAGGAGTTCTTTGCACAGTGTAATTCAATCCTTACTACAAAATTCAATGTGGGAATACAATCCAGTGTAATACAACAATCCCTTTTTACACTGCAGCAAGTTTTATGAACTGAAGGAATTTTTGCTTTCAAATTTTGATCCACTACCCAAAATAAAGAAATAAATGCTGCACTTTGTTTCAAATGCACTAAAATTATTCTTTAAACTAAATTTTTCAAATTTTACGTTTTTTCCACTCTGGCTTGTCTGTTTCATCGTCTTCTGGTTCCACTTCTGCAAAAACTGTTTTTGGCTGCGTTCTAGAAAACATTAAAAAGATTAAAATAGTGGTCAGACTACAATTCTGTATCAGAAACTATATTAGACATGCACTAGACACAAATGATGTCCCTTCTATACTTAATAAAAGAGCATCCTAGACTTGCCCATTTTTCATTTTCAACATAAACCTATCAAGTAACCTTCCAAGAACTGAAGAAACTTGCAGCTCTCAGGCAAAGAACAAGCATAACAAACACACATCTTTTGCAAGTATTATTTCCCCATCAGCTCGCAATCATTATCTGTGTATTCCATGAATAAAATTAAGACAGAAGAGAGGAACAAATCTATTTAATACAATGCTAGAAAAATGGAGCCACAGGTCTTCTCCCACTGTGAGATCGGGATTCCATGATTTTTAAAAAAGAAACCTCCATTTTGATACACTGTAGCATGACAGCAGCCAGTAAGTGGAAACAGAACAGCTGAGCCAGGTTTCTGGCTTTGCCTATGCATGAAAAAACCAGCTTCTCCTCCAGAGACTCTATCCAGCACCACCGTAACGTAAAAAAACTAATCATCTTCATATGAGAACACAGCGTATCCTACAGTCAAGCTTGATGGTATCTATTCCTCCACTGTTTACTTGTATTTTAAATAACACTTAAACTTTATAAAAATAATTATTGATTGCTTTTTAAACGAACACAGTATCAAGCAGCATTTCAATAAACTGTCTGGACATTCAGTTCCCCTGTTCTATGCTTTAATCACCGCATGGTCCCCTTTTCCAACCTAATTCTCAGCACAATCACCGCAGTGCTGAAACTACTGGTTTTCTGATGATGGCTGTGCTCGACTTCTCTTTACAACAGACACAACAAAGTATAAAACGCAGCCAAGGCAGTCATCACCTCATTAATGTATTAACTAATGTTTTTATAGCAGTCTAAGGACATGAAGCACTATCATTATAACAACTGTTATTTGGCAGACTCTACAAAATGCATAAACCTTAACAAAATTGCATCTGCCTTACTTAACACAATAGGCATCATTCAATATTGCCACTGACTTTGAAGAGTAATAGCAAGCCATCAGCTATTAAAGAGCAGGATTCTCCACTTTTTAAATATGTGGCACAAAGCAGATTTAAAGTCACCAAAACTAGTCAAAGACAATTTCCCTTATATACAGGATCTCTCTATCAGCCTGCCTTCTCCTCCATCCTCCAAACTTGCCATGCAGGTAAGGAGTATACTAAGATGTTCCAGATATGGTCCTACTGCGGGACTCTATTGGTCCCTGGGTGCAGGCTGTATGTTGTCTCATTATACCTAAGCAGACCTTGTACCCAGATGAGGACCTACACTACTGGAAGTGAGATGAGTCATTCAGCTCTCCATGGAAAACAGAACTAAGATTAAAAAAAATTTTCCCATTTAAAAATTTCATCAGAATATTGTTACATAAACTCTACTTAATCAATCACCGAAGGAGAATTTAAAAAAAAAAAAAAAAAAAAATCAACATTCAATACAAAACAGACACCAAGGATGAAGGCTTTATTGTCTGAAATACTGGATTTTGTTAGCTGCTGAAGAGGTGGAATGTATGGAATCTTCTTCTCTTTTTTCAAAACATATTGACGGAAGTTTATTTAGCCCATTTTAGCAGCGTACCTTCCTTTTAGCTCAATAGACGAAAGGTATCTAAACGCCATATAGGATCACATCAGGTCAGTATTGAGACGCTTGTTAGTAAAGCACAACTAATCAAGTGTAAACCTATCATTTCTGACCACAAAACCTGCCACTGTCATAATCTTGGTTAGAAACTTCCAACCAAGAAGGATGACTTAATTTGTGAAACAAGCAGCAGAACCTACGTGTTTTTCAGGATAGGAGTGGCACAGAGAAAAGTTACAGACTTCAGCTAATGCAAGTATGCCGCCAAGTCCAGGAAAGCTGGGGTGGGGGGGGGCTGGGAAAAAAAAAAAGAAAATGTAGTATAATCTAGCAGTAACCAGCAAAAGCAAAACATACAGAGAAAATCAAGTCTGCTTGCTATTTCGTTTTTTAAAATTAGCATGAAATGGCTGTAGCCTTAGCTCAGCTGAAATGTAAATTGTTCCACCTCCACAAGCTACACAGCAGTAACTGGGGCACCTAGGGCGATGCATATGCCTGACCACTTTAAAGACATAAGCATAGAAAACACTGTTTTTGTTATAGCATTATCAGCAGTGATCATTTAATTTAAACACAAATTGTTCTGCTTGGTAACTGCACTAGAGATTGCTAGTGTAGTAGGGAGTTTGCTGCATGATTAATATTTATACAAAAACTATCAAAACGGGTTTACTACTTCAAAATATTTTTATTTCTGAGGACTAAATAATACATGTGGAAAGCTGTGTTCTTCTTCCCCACCAACTTTCTCAATTTTATTTACCCTTGACTTTGGGGGTTGACTTCAGTTAAGGATTTTCAGTTAGGGATCTGCTTGGCAGATCCCATGGGAGACTGCCATGGAGGGCAAAGGGACCCAGAAGAGCTGGTTGATCTTTGAGGACAACCTCCTCAAAACACATTCCATCCTGTGTGCAGAAGGTGAAGTCTGGCAGAAGCCTGGTATGGATGCGCAAGAGTCTCCTGACTGAGATAAACCCCAAACCCCAAAAAGGAAGAACACAGAGGAAGGAGGGACAGCCTTAGCCAAGAGGAATTATGTGAACATGTAGGAACGGAGTTAGGAAAGCCAAAGTTCAGCTGCAGTTGAAACTGGAAAGAACAGTGAAAGGCAACACTAAGGGCTTCTATAGCTACACTAACAGCCAAAGGAATGCTAAGGAAAACATGCTCAATGGGGCAGGTAACCCACTAACGTAGGATATGGAAAAGGTCAAGATACTTGGTGCTTTTTTTTTTTTCCCTCCATTTTCCCTGAGAAGGTCTGTCCTCAGGCCTCTGAGGACTCCTACACTACCAGCAGAGCCTTTGGGAGGGAGTGAGACAGTACTGACAGAAGAGAAAGACAGAGACAGGGAGTACGTAGCTCATTGGACATACACAAATCCATGAGATCAGATGGGATGGATCCAAAGGTACTGAGGGAGCTGGCCAATGTCATTGCAAGGGCACTCTATCACCTTTGAGCGGTCATGGTGATCGGGGGAGGCTCTCGATGACTAGAAAAGGCAAACATCATCATCTTTATGAAGGGCACAAGGAGGATTTGGGAAACTATAGGATGGTCTACCTAACCTCAGTCCCTGAGAAAGCTACGGAACAAACCCCCATGGAAGGCATTTCCAGGCACGTGAAGAACAAGAAGGTGATTGGGAACAGCCAGCATGAATTTAGCAAGTGCATATTATGCCTGCCAACCAGATTGCTGTAGCAGGCTGCCCAGAGAGGTGTTGTGGAACCTCCATCCTTGAGGATATTCAAACTTGGCTGGACAAGTCCCCGAACAGCCTGAATCTAATTAGACCTGATCAGCCTGATATAAGAAAACATGCTTTAAGCAGGAGGTTGGACTATATGATTTCTGGAGGTCCCTTCCTACCTAAATTATTCTATGATCCTGTGTCTCCACATGACTGTCAGCTGAAACCAGTATCTCATACACTGACAAATGCATTCCTATTGTGGGTTACACTAACAGGCTGCAAACAAAAACAGGAAAACAAACTAAGATGATTTATTCATACTGCGTGCTTCTCTTTATTTCAGTGGTTTTCAATTCTGATATCCATACCCCTAAAAAAACTTCCAGGGGCCACGCAGACTGCTTCAGAGTCACCATAATCCCTCTGGTTATGGGTTGTTTTTCTTAGTTACCTTTCAGGGATAAAAGCAGCTCATTGACATCTGAGGTTCATAGACTAGCAGCTAAAAAAATACTGCTACATCTAAACCAGCTGGAGATGACAATTGCGTATCACAGCATGTGACTCATGTCGCAGTAACTTTTGAAATTTGTGTTTATATTGCACTGAAACAAAGAAAAAAAGACGACCTTCAAGCATGCTTGGAAACCAGAATAATGTCATAAAGGCTACTTCCAGACTGAAAAATGAAGGTTTTCAGCATCAGGCCCCTTTGTATTCCTTACCCCACCAACCAGCCTGCCTCTTCTCTGAATCTCAGTGGCTTCCCTCTCAAAATTACCAATTTCCAAAAAAGATTTAAATATACCAACACGTGCCAAAAAAATCACTGTTTCAGAACATTCTGTTCAGTCCTGCTTCTTCAACTGAAGATACCCGAGCCACTGCGTAACTAACGCCTTGCACGCTGGTACTGCCATTGCGAAGTTCAGTGAACACAGCACAGCTACAGGCTCTTGCTTCAAGTCGTTCCCTTTTGCCTGCGACAAGCAGCAACGACAAAGACAGCAGAATAGGGGCAACATCACAGAAATGAAAGGTGTTTTCTAAGAACTCCGGTCTATCTTGGTGGGGAGGGAAATTTCACCCTCACCTTCCCTATGGTACGGAAGAGAGCTACATCTGGGCCTGATTAGGCCCTCAGCTTCAGTGCTTAGTAATTCAAAAAAGAGGGACATCTGAAGTCATTATAGCATCTCTGTACAGCTGTGTTAAAACAAACAGCTCACAAAGAATGTAATTTTCAAACATTTACAACCGATGCCTCAAGTTCCTTTCCTGTAGTTCTTTACTTGAAATCTTCAATCTGTCCTTTCCTTTCACTCCACTGGAATGGCTCTTGCCAAGGTCTCTAACAAGCTTTTTCCTGAAAAATCTCAAGATCTTTTCTTTCTCCTCATCCATTATGACTTTTCTGCTGTGTTGATCACATCTTTTTTGACACTTTGTTCACACTGGGCTTCTGTGACATGTCATCTGGTTCAGCATGTACTTCTTATCATCCCCAGTATCCTTTTCAGCAGCATCTGTTTTTTCACCCATTCTTTTGCCTTTTACATACTCCTCCCTCCTTCTCTGGCTCAAATTTTAGGAGAAACAGAAAGGTCAGGCTAATGATAATAAGCTTGAAAAAATTTTCAAGTGATAAATAATGCAAATTACTTTTTGGCTTTAAGAATAAATTAGGCACCTTTAAATCCAACAAAAAGGAAGTATTTTTACATGTAATATACAAACTAACAGCAAAAGTAATCTTGCAGGTATTTCTTACAAGAATTATTGAAGTGAAAATACAATTAAAAAACCATGAAATCAGTTATCTGACTTAGAATGATCTAATCAGTATGAATCGGGACCAGACGAACTCTAACACAATCATCACAATCAGACTTATGAAAACTCTGACCAACCAGAAAAAGAGTGTTTCTTAGTCTTCTCAGTCTAAAATTATTTAAGAACCATCACTGAAGAAAATTAAGTAACTATAGTTTCCTCAGACATTTTCTTAAGAAGGAGAATGAAAAGCTGTAAGTGAATAACCATCCATTAGACAACACAAAAACAAAAGCCTTGTCAAAGAAGAGAGAGATCAAGTGGATAGTTTTATACCATACTTAAGTGAAAATTTACTACAAGAAATGTGGAAAAACTGATGGTGGAGAAATAAAGTAGTAAAAAAAAAACCACCACTATTTTAAAAAATGAAACATACTGGATGTATTTTTTTTAGGTCTTAAGACAGTATGTATCAGAATATCACCTTTCCTAACTCCATAGCATATCTTATGCTATAGCTAAAGCAGCCAGCTTCCCTAGGTTTGTATACTGCTCGTTATTATGAACTCCTGATTTTAACAGGACCACCAGGGACACTCTTACAATCCAATATTATGTGATAATTTATATCAGTTACTTGTAATTTGCATATTTTATTAAAAATGCACCTGTAAGATGCTTTACATACAGGGTAAATATACATGCCCTGTAAAGTCAGATACAGGATATAATAAACACAGCTTTCTATATTATCTCTATGTGCAGGCAAGCAGCTAATGAAACCTATGACTGCCATTGGTCTGCAGCTGTTAATATAGACCTCCATTTCTGAAAATTAAGAACATAACACAATTATAAAGAAAGTTTTTGCATTTCAGTGTCTTAGCTCATAATAATAATAGCAATTATTATTATTATTATTATTTAAATGCGCTTTGCATAGAATACATCTTAAAGTCAAGCTTTTAAAGCAAGGATAACAGCATTTTCACTGGCATGAGATGTATCAGCTGAGAAAACCATCAAGGCACCATGCTGTTGGCTGCAGTCCAATTCCCCCACATACGTGTCACCGTCTGGTGTGTAAGTTAATAGCAGTCTGGACTTGCATCCTCCCCACTTCTCAGCCAGCTCTCTTCTTCCCCTGCAGCTACATCTTTAACAAGAAACTGTAATGAGATCTGCCCACCTGACATAGTAAGCCTTCTGTAATACAGCTATGTTTTAAAACCTTCACGTCTACTACATCGCAGGTATCAGAGATGAAACTTAATATACAATCAGTGAAGGTACTGAGCCAAAAATACAGTGAGGTATCTATCTACCTGATGGAATGTGCGATTGTATTTACTTTTGAGAATGGATAGTTGCATATCTCAAATAAAACCAGGTGCCTACACATTCAAAGTAAATTTCATCTCTAGCAAACATGAACTCTCAAACAACTAAAAATCCATGTTTAGCATATTCATTACAACATATTCATAACAACTGTTACACAATCAGGCTTTCAAATATTCCTTCTTTGGTACCAAGGGTGATTATAATCCATTGATTTGATATACAACATCAAATGCCACACTTATTAATTACCCAGTCAAAGCCAGGCTGGGTCTCCAGCTGCTGTGGAACAGCTATTCAGTTATCCTTGTGAACATGTGGGTCAAGTCAGAAAACAAGTGTCATCCCTAGAAACAGCTATGATTCTTACTATATTTTGAGTTTCTGGAAAGAGATGGTGATTATTTCACTAACAAAGAAAGTACAGTCAGTAAAGTACTAACGAACGTACAGCCTAGGAGATAAAACACTGGGGTGCAAACAAGAAAAAAGAGTTTGTTATTGGCACACTTCTGTGCAGACTATTTCATTTCTTCAAAACCTTTTCCTTATGCATTTGGAAAATACTACTTACACTAGATAAATTATTTTGTGTAACAAAAACATCAATGATAATAACAAAATGTGAAAATTTTAGTAATTTCTAAAGTGGTAGTTTCTGTTCATTAGTATGAGATGCATTTATTTAGTATCTATTTTGGTACTATTGTGAATGTATTTATTTAATGGTTTGAATTGTATTTATTTTTAGAAGAAAAAAATCTTTGGTAGAAAGCATTCTAGAAGCATATTGCACAGTCTTCATTGTAATACATACTCACACATACAATTTAAACTGAGTAAGTTACCACCCGTGGGATTACCGAGATTTTTACTACCGTAATCTTGAGGAGGCTCTTTAATTTATGTAACAACAGCTGAACACTTATTTTTTTACATTAAATTTTTGGTAAGAGATTTTATCAGTGCAATTTTTAATACTGCTATACCTTTGATACCAAGTTAATTCAAGCAGGTACTTGGGTCCTTATGTAGGAAAAAATGAAATAAAAACTTATGACATTCAAGAAATCATCTAAAATATGCTGTCATAACACCAAGTAAATATTTTGAAGGTTTAACCTAAGAATCAGTCAGAACTAGAGGGCATATTGGAAAACTTATCATCCCAGTCTGTCAATGGGACAATACCTTATTAAAAAGTATATTGCAATTTCAGACATTGATTTGGAAAAGATTCTAAATTCTAATCAACTTAGAAAGCTTTAAAATAATTTTCTAGCGTTGATAGGTACATTTTAAAAATGGAAATGTCAAATTTCAACAATTTAACCTCCTGGAAACTCTTAACTTCATAAAAGGGTATGGCATATTCTTGGCAGCAATCCAGAAAAGGCAAAGTATACCATTAAAAATGTGTGTATCCTATTTTTACCAAACTCCCACTGACCTCCAGAAATATTACTTGTATTTTTAATTGTTTCCTTACTTAGCATATGCTGGAGCAACCCAGTATGGATTCTCCTCCGCTTCCTTTGCATGACGTAAAATAGCCTCTCGAGGGTTGCTATCATCTGTCTTATCCAGTGCAATATTCTTGACTATATATGATGACAAGGTACCTCCGTGAGTTCCAACGCGTCCACCGCGACCTGTAGCAAAAAAAAAAAAAAGAAAAGACAAGAGTATTTTAGAGAAAAATACTTAAGAAATAAACAGTGATCTGTACTGTGTCTGTAACAGTGATCTGATACAAAGAAGTTATCTAATACTACAGGTAGAGGCTAATTTAGACCTGCATTCATGTAAATGTTTTACTGATTATACAACTTAAAGTAAGTCATTGTGATTATTAATTTATTCCAGGCAAGCATTCCAATCAAAGACAGTCTTACTGTGCTGGACAGTGCCTATACATATATAGTAGAGTCGCCACCCAAAAAGGTTTGAATGCAAATCCGAAAAAACCCAAGCATAACAGTCCCTTTGGCATACGACAGTCTGAAAAGATAGGCCTAGATTACCTGGTCCTGCTACTGGAGGTTCAGGTTTGTGAGACTTCATGGGGTCCAGCCTATCCTTCTCCAGCTGTTTCCTGGTGCTTCGCTGTCGTGGTTCACGGAACATCGGAAGCGCATGGGCTGAAGGGTCACAGTTGGGAGAAAAAAAAATGTTAGAAATACCTTCTTTTTTTTAAGGTTTTAATTACAAAGACAAAGACTAGGATTCTTCCTTGCATTGGAAAAGGTGGCAGAAGCAGCCTTCCCAGTTCTTCTGTATGCAAGCAGTGGTTTGCTGAGG